TAGGCAGGGTAGGTCATACTGTAGGCAGGGTAGGTCATACTGTAGGCAGGGTAGGTCATACTGTAGGCAGGGTAGGTCATACTGTAGGCAGGGTAGGTCATACTGTGCTACCTCTCTAGGACTAGATGGCGCTAGTGCTGGCTCTGCATCAGCGATGAGGCCCTCCTGTGGCGCCACATAGAGGAGGCGGATGTGACGTTCCACGTCAGAATAGAACGTCTGCTCCCAGAACTGTACGTTCGACCACACGGGGTGGTCCTGGATACAGGTGTATGCAAACTGTATCACGCCTGTACAGAGTTTCTGAAATACACACGCATAATCATTACAATGCTTAACACGTGGAAATCGATGCAACAAGATTAAATCTATACCCCTATGATTAGACGGGATCGAGAATAGCTCGTGTGCGCCTAATTTTTTCATTTAGTACAGATATGCATGATGCTTGATAGCTGTGTACTTACTCTACAGAAAGCTGTGACTAGAGGCAGGAAAGCTGCGGCTACACCGTGCTCGTCCATCGGTGAGTCATTCTGTAAGCAATTATAGAACACGCTCACACACACCTGCCGCAGAGCATCTCACCATTATAACAGCGTGCATCAATTACAAAAAGCATTTAGAAATAAACATTAAAAGCCAGCCTCAATAGGGTGTGTATTCAGTACACCGTGTTCATTACGGTCTTGGAACGTGAGAATCCTATGTGTATGACCTTATACCGTATATACGAACAAAGCAGTGTGTACACTCAATGATATAAGGATACACGAACATACGTGAAACAATTCAAATTCCCCTTGTAATCAGCGTCGTGTTGACTATACGTATGACGATAGGGAGTAGGCGGCTACACTCTCCAGGTGCAAATCCACTTTAGGCACCTTAGGTATCACGAAGTGATGCACAGATTTCTGTGTATCATCAACTGATGCACAGATTTCTGTGTATCATCAACTGATGCACAGACTTTCCATATATTAAGAAATGATGCAAAAACCCTAACCCTAACCCTAATCCTAACACACTTCGTGATACCTAAGGTTATACTTTATGACTTAGGAAAATATTTAGGTATTCATTGATATACGGAAAGTCTGTGCATCACTTCGTGATACCTTGGGTGCCTAAAGTGGATTTGCGCTACATTCTCCCGGTGCCTGCCCTCGCATGCGGCACTTACCTGCAGAGCGCAGTTGATGAGCCTCACGACGAGATCAAACTGCTGGTGTTCGAGCATGGCACGGTTGCTCTGCACATGCAACGCAAACTCGTGCGTCAACGCCAGACGCGCCGTCTTACTCTTCAGAGTCCTCAGCACCGCCGGGAACGTCTATAACGCGTCACCCACATAAGCCACCATTAGGCTGAGCAATGGGCCTAAGCAGGTTAAAGTCCCACGGGGATGTGGGGGAAGCTGCTCCCCAGGTATATTGGAGAAAAATCAAATAAAAGCCTAGTAGATGAAAATAGCCTAGAGTAAGTATAGATCATCATATTGCCTTGTTACTCTGTTGTCATCACATTACTCAATCGAGTCACAAAAGTTTGCCAACCCTGGAATATGTTCAGACAACAGGCCTGACAACGACAACAGTCTTTCCTAAGGTGTGACCACAGCATATCTCTTGTCAATAGAAGCCTGCTAGCAACCACCCTGTGGATGCACCTAAGCAATGGGGACTGCTCGACTTCAAAAGAATTGACGACAATTTTAGTTGAACAACTTTTGAAAATGCATCAGATTCTGGCAGACTGCAGATATGAACACGTTCACACAAACGGCATGACATTAATCAACTCGGTTTCGATGTAGAAGGCATGCTTGGCCCCTCGAAAATGCCTGTGACTCGACAGCGATCGCTCGGCAAGCATCATCGTAATGGGTGTCAGTGCACGTACCTTCCGCGCATCCGCGATCTTGTTTTCGAAGATGCAGTTAACACAGTTTCGCAGCACCTCGAGCCGTCTAGTACTGCTGTCGACCGCCATCTGGCGCTGACCGATCGCCACGATGTCTGGTCCCATCGGCACCATCTTCAGCTGCTGCGGCCGCGCCTGATTCAACCGTGACTTGATGTTCTGCTTCGACACGCCCTCGTCGACGATATCCTGAACCTAGTGGCGGCGACATTTGGCGATAAGCGGGTGCAAAGTGGCATACATGAGGCTGAGCACAAGAGAGAACATACACCGTTACCCTGACAACGCACCTGAACCCAGTCGATGACGGGGAACATCGGTTGATGGATGCGAAGGTGAGAGCCCTCTGTTGGCCGTGGAATCTTCTGCACGTAAGGCTGTGGATTCGGATTCTCCTGTACATAAAGAAGTCATTCTATTACCACTCATGGAAATTGGGAATTTATTACCATAAATGTCTGCGATGGATTTAATAAGAAACAGTTTGGCTACCTTTTATTCTGACTTTATACGCAAAGTTTGGAAAAGCACCTGTTAGTTTATTACACTGAGGAATCAGAGGATTATGCCATATAATTTATTTCATGCCTACTTTATAACCTCTTTCACTGGGCAGCCCAAGTTCCAGATAGAAATGAAAGTGTCAATGACACTGTAGCTCACCTTGGGTGTGATAGAAGAGGGAAATGATATTTAAAATTTGGTAAGCGTTTCATTTATGACGGACCGAAATGTGATCAAATGTCCTTATTCCCTGTTTTATACTAATAGAAATTTCACTGTTTTGTTTCAGGGTTCTGAAATCTGGGCGAGAGATGGCGCTATGCCTAAATGATCGCCATTTTGGTTTTCGATTATCGCGCAAATAAAAGCAATAAAATATTCCAGTCAAATTACTGTAACGAAGAATCTAAAACACAATATTACATGTAGGTATGCTTAGGTAGGTAGGTAAGTAGGTAGGTAGGTGGGTGGGTAGGTAGGTAGGTAGGTAGGTAGGTAGGTAGGTAAATTTAACAAAATCGAATGAATCTAGATGGCCATTTTCATTTTTGCCAAAAAGTGGGCGTGGCTCGAAAGGAGGTCAACTGGCGTGCTCCAAAATAGGACGTTCAAATCTCTCCCATAGGAGTAACAACTGTATGCAATTTGAAACATGTGGGTCAAACGGTTCTCGAGTTATCGTTGACCGTAGCCAAATGTTGACGGACGGACGGACGGATGGACGAACGTACGACGGACGGACGGACGTACGACGGACGAAGCCCCATGGCAATAGCTCATCTTGACGATGTCAAGGTGAGCTAAAAACAGAAGAAGAGCTAAAGGTCAGGTAGCATCTCTCACTATACATCACTCATCCCCCCATTCATCAACCCATCGATTGCCACCAGTGATGCGCTTCGCTCTGACGTCCACGCAATTAGGAGGCTAACGAGCATAACGAGCTAACGAGCATCATCGACTCACGTTGATGTAAAGCTGCTGCGCTAGTTCGTGCACATTCTTGAGCATCCGATCAGGGTTCTCCTCCTCCTCCCTCAGCATTCTCTCAATCGACGCGTACAGCTGTAACAATGTGCAACAATAGTGTTAAATTTCACCGCAAACTGTAACTCTATATAAACTTTATATAATGCATACTCTATACAAACTCTTATAATCATTTCCGCTTGCTTATATCAGAATTTCATTATTGTTGAGTACAAATTGGGTATCGGGAAGAGAACATGAAACCTGGATGAATTTATACTTTGTTACACATACATAGCCAGTAATAAACAGATTGATTTCTGCTCTACTTTTAAATTGTACAATAAATGCATTCAGATATTTTTAATAATTTTATAGTAATATTATACTCGCATAGACGCTTTTTAAGTTTGGTTTGAATTGTTTTGTTGTCTGTTTGACCTACGCTATCCTGATCGACTGATTAGCTATGAGAATGTCACTACCTCAAATCAAAAAGTGATTAGATTCCGAATCTTTGAATCCCTGATCCACTTCCATTGCAGAATTATTTCACCCACTACCAAAGTGGAAGTGACTTATCCGTCTGAATGAGATTTCTCCGCTCTTCGATATTGTTGCTAGGTTGGTCAATTAAACCCTGTTTGTATGTGATTTTACATATGTGCACGCCAAAACATCATTTGAACTGCACCCTGTTGCCATGCATTGTCTTTAGAACGTCTCATCTCAACGATGATTGGTAAGAGCGTCACTTCAGTGATGCCAGACGGAGAACTCGGTTCTCTGGCGTTGATGGTCCTCACCTCATCCAACATGTCGAGTGTTTTGTACGGTGGTCCGCGCTCGCTGACAAACGTGTTGAACGACATGCTGTCAAGCACCTTGTTCATGAACTCATCCTCCACCATACCTCTGTGACCGAGGAACATTGCCTGCAAGCAGAGAGTCAGACACAAATCATTAGTAGGTGACACGGTAGCGATTACCGCTCATGCACCACCACTACTAGCTGCTGTGTGGAGCCAACAGGGAAACGAACGGGAGGTTTTCTACTTTACTGTCAAGACAAGATCGCAAAAAAAGTTACAGCAAACTAGAAACCATTTAGTAATGGCCTGCGGCAAATACATGATCTATTCATGTAGCATGCATAGGCCTGGGAGTGCTGGTGGTGAAGGTGAACTATCATGGGTGTGTGACCAGTGGGCGGGGCGCACCCCTGTGCTAGTCACACACACCCGTCTTTAAGTTAACGAATGAGTGGCACTGTCACCTTGTGGAACGTGATGAAGGGTTCTGGATGGATACGTATGACAGTGAGACAGGATCGATAGCCAAGCAACAGTTCTGCGAACATACGCAAGAACACAGCTCTGATCTCCTTGTCCTGAAAAAGTAAAAAAATGAAATATAAATTGGTGTGGAGAGAACACTTAGCCGATCATTAGCTTTTCACTACTGTACAATAGATCTTATCAGTCAAACTGGTTAACCTTTGCAAAATGACCCAAATTCTATGCCCGTTTTTAAACACTATTCATATTTTGGAAGGCATGCTTAGCAACTCTACGCTAGCATAGAAATATCTCATCACAAAATGCAAACGTTCAGCAGAAGTAGTGAAACGATTTATTGCCGGCTCGCAACACCGGCTACTGCATACGTGTGCTTTCCCATTGTCAAATCCTTTATTCTCTACAGTAGAGCATTTAATTCCTACCCCATCAGATATCATCCAGTAGAAACCTGTGCTATACCAGGATAACACCGAGTAAAGTAAGTATTGATGTGCATAATTACTGATCCAGCGGAGACTACACAAACTTGCTTTTCTACATATGCTATTGTTACCTCCGCCAGGGGCTTGGCGGAGGTTATGTTTTCACCGGCGTGTCTTTGAGTGTTGGTTTGTGTGTTTGTGTGTTACCATGCACGTTTCAGTTCACTTCCGCTAGGTGCGCTGGCGGTAGACTTACAAACACGCAACCACAGGCTAAGGGGCAACCA